TTTAGAGCTTCATCATTCTCATCAATCACTTTCTGCAGTTAGTTGCAAAATTAATTAGATACTCAAAATGGCAGCCAATATGACAAGAAATATGCTTCTCTCTCTTTCAGATCGTTGTGGAGCAGTTAGGATACCAAATTTAGGGGACAGGTTCACAACTATTCTCTTTTGGCTGGCATCAAATAGGGGTTTGGTTTTCTTTTCTTCTTTTTGCTATTACCTTACGTAACTAAAGATTATGGTCTAATTAAGTTTTGCCACCTTTACCCAAAGATAAAAGACGACTGTCGTTGAGAAGACCATGAAACTAATAGCCAGCAAGAGAAGCCCCTCATTCTTTTTAGTACCCATGAGGATTATATTTGTACATGAGATTGGGTGTATGTTGTAGAGAAACATATTTTTGTGTAGGCTCTCCAACAGTCTAACTATTGATATACTTCTTGTATATGGCATATGGGAATTTCCCCACACTAAAAAAGTTACTTTACCTTCTCAAAAAAATCCTCCTTTAAACGTCAGACCTTTATGTGCAATGCACAGCTCTTAACCTAAAAGGAATAATATTGGCAGCAGTAACATAATAAAACAAATAGGCATAAGGGACAAACCTCAGCCTTGGACTCGTCAACCATGAAAGTTTTAAATGGATGCCAATCAGAGTCTTTTATTTTTTCCTGCCAAAGAGAACACAGTTCTAAAGCCTTGATCTCAGCTTCCTCATTTGGGAACCTTTGCTTGCATGCATTCTGAAATGCTTTTGAATCGATTTCCCCCATTCTTCTTATCCCAATATGGGAGCGCCCGCTGGTCAAGAGCTCATTCAATCCCTAAAAAGATGATGATTAAGCAGCCAAAAGGCAGTGTGCTTTAACAAGAAGAAGCTCCAACACCAAACAAGGTTTTTAACCGCATCTCATAACATAAAAATCTTACTGCCATATTGCCATTAATACTGAATCATACCGTAATTAACGTGCGCCGAGCATCTTGTAGCTCATCATTACTCCTGCGCTCCTTCGCTAGAAGGGTTTGATTCAAGGATTCCAAGTCGTCCATTTCTTCCATTTTCCCAACCAGCTCCTCGTTCATCTCCTTGATTTTATTTTGCACAGCTGCATCGTCGTCACCTCCTAGATGCTTCATAACTTCTAGTTTTCCTTTAAGTTCTGCAATTTCCATTTCCAGCTTCTGCTTGGTATCATTCTCTCTTTCTAGCTCAAGTATCTTTCTCAAAGCTTCCTCCTTCTCTCTCTGCACATGTAAAAGCACTAATGACTAAAACAGTATTGAAATAACTCGAGTGAAGACTATTTGTAAAGAACAGTAGCAGAAACCCC